GACTAATTTACATCCTGGCTGTGGTCCCAAAATCCAAACAATCCGTGTGCACCTGAATTCCAACACAAACCAGAAACTGCCAGAAAGTGTAACCTGCCGAGGATTCGGCGGTCCACGGACCCGATGCTGCGGTGTTTTCAAGGAAAGCAGCAGAACGTGCCATGCCGGCAAGGTGCTACTACTTCGGCTGCGCATGTCGCTCTCCAACACCACGGCACCGCACTGATGAGACCTCACGGAAGCGGCTGCAGGGCCAAATCTGTATGCTAGGAATGCATATTGCGCCTCCTGGACACAGCATGACACAGCGTGATCAATTCAGCCATGGCACAAGGCAAGCTCGACGTTGAGAGCGGACATGGCTGACAAAAGGTAACCTCAGAAGCTCAGAAGGAAAAACTGATGAGCATATTTGCCAGCTGTGTGCTATCATTCCCATCCCTTTCTCTCGCTGAGAATGGAACGGAGAGAATGCACACGGCCAAAAGAGGGGGCTTGCAGAGCAAGTCTGCAAAGAGCCAAACAGCTGCCAATGCAGGTGTAGGTGTGCAGTTTGGCGCGCTTTCTGGGATCTCTGTCCGCGGTACACTGAGACCTATATGGCAAGTAAGCACACCACAAGACACCAACACTGTCAGCATTCGGTGAAGCTATTTTACTTTCCTTCGCCTGCCCTTCCCGTCGGGGGTTCCTTGGTTCCAGACTTTCAGCTCTGAGACCCAATGGTTCTAGCCCGACCTTTCGTGTCCAGTCAGGCCAAGCAGCCAACACCAGTCCGTCCACAATGTTGCAGTCTGCTCTCGACACCTCTCGGCACCTCAGCTCTACCAGGACTCCGACTAGATGCAGACTTCAGCGCAGTCTGGGGCTCGGGCCCTGCTTCGTATGGACGGGCTCTGCCGGCCTACCCTCAGGGCTTGGGTTCTAAACGAAAGGATGATGGGGAAAAGCGAGTCATTCAGACATCCTCCACCCCATCATCCCTTCAGGAACGGGGCGTTTTCCAGAGTAGGCACGCGGGTCTCCGTGAATGTAGAACTACTCTCGACTGCTCGTCGCGGCTTCAAAGCGGATAGTCGACCACGGAGTCCCGTGTGTCCCACGGCCACTTCTCGATCCAAACGGTGAGCCCCCTTCTGGGGGAGCACCGGTCGAGTGAGACAACGCAGCCTATGCTGCTGCCCTTGGCCGGAGGGGGCCTAGTTAAGCAGGTGTGGCTGGGGCACTTGTCAGTCGGCTGTCAACTGTCGGCAGAATCCCAGCTGGCGTCTTTTTGTAGACGACAACCAATCACCTGTACTGACAAATGCCTGACTTGACACAAGCTTCCAGCTGAGAGGCGCCAGCGCGCCTGTTAGTCTGAGCAGAACCGAAACAGGCTCAGTGCTTTTAAGGCTTTGGACTAACTTCTGTTAGAGGCTGGAAGCAAGCCTCAAGGACTAAAATCCTGCATCATGTCCATTGAAAACAAGCTCTAATACTGTGCACTGTACTTCTCCATGGTTCAAAAGCACCTGTGCAAGTGGGAAGACTACAAGCCCCATGGCCATTTGATCCAAAGCAAGATATTAAACTTGCGTTCCTACCGTAGTAAGACTGACAAAAGATACCTGAAGCAACCCTTAGAAATATCCACGCCTCGTCGGCCAACTAGACGCATCCAAAATCACAACATCTCCAGAATCACAGGTCGTTAGGAATAGGTTTGTGTTTTTTTACCGAGAGATGCAACAGCGCATGCAGCAATTGACTGGCAGCATACACGATAACTTCAAAAAAACGCATGAATACAATCTTAGTCTCCTCGTCCGCCTCTTTGCCCCATGGATGAGCCAGCTGCACACACGAGCCAAAACCACACGCTCGGAGCATCAGCTCTGATGCCAGGAATGGCGAAGCCCAGTGTTTCTCTGATGTATTATAGTATAAGATATTTATAGTTATAGTATAATATCATTATAAGTATAGTATAATATAACTACAGTTATAATATAATATAGCATAGTAGCAAACGCCTTTGTTGCGGTTTCCCACGAACATGGGCTCGGCCGCTGTACAAGCAGTCTTGCTCAAAAGTGGCAGCTGAACTGCACGGAGCGCATGGACAGGCACGTCTGCAACTCGGCCTTTCTGCGAGATGTTTGACTACTTTACGTTTCGCATCTCGCGGCAGAGTACATAATTCTGGTGCAAGCTGGTGTAGCAGCAATCATCAGAAAACAAATTCTCTGCAGAAATCATCAGCGGTACGGTTGAGACGGGAGCAAGTTTCCCAAACCTAAGAACCCAAAGGCCGACATCTCAAATCCCAACATGCCATCCCCGGCATGGTTTCGTAACAAGAGCATCGATGTACATGTTCGAATGCATCATGAGAGTTCAGGCAGAATACAAACACAGATGTATAGCGGTCTAAGCGGAGCGGAAATCGAGTTCTCAAGGAAAACGACAGGTGCCCAATGATAACTTGGACTGCATTTCAAAATCTTGTCTTCAAAGACTTAGCAGGACATGATAAAATCAAGTCAGCGTATTGCTGTGGTCTAATCCCACAATACGGGTTTCTAGGCACCAAAACATTCCAGACAAACCTTTGATCCTCGTCCTCAACCTGGGAAAAAAATAGCCGCGTTTTACGGCACTTCTGCAGGACCGGCTCTGGTGGCCAGACCACGGCTGGCAATGCCCTTACAAGCCTCTTGCCAGAGTCAGAGCTCACCACAAGAGGAGTCGAAGATGAAAAGAAAAGCTCTGGCCTGGAAAGATGTTCGGCTCCGCTCCTCGAGGTACTTGCTCTGACAATAATCTCTATGCGACAGACTTTGCAGCCGCCCTTTCTTGGTCCTAGCACGGAACCATCGCAAGCGCAGCAGGGAGGGCAAAGGCTGCAGCTGCAATCAGCTGCAGCCCACCTGCCCTCCATAGTATCCTTCGTGAAATTTCAAGAAGGCCCTTGCCGGACGTGCGATGCTGTAAAGCCTATACTGTCTAGATCCCTATACTGTACACCTCAGCTGGCGGTGGCTGAACCTCGAAGGCATCAGTCAGGCACTTGTCGATCCAGGTTTTAGTCGTAACACGGCAGACCTCCCCTCAGCTGCTGACCCACCACGGCATCCGAACGCCACTCCAGGATTGGATTCTCATCCTGTTCTTGACGGGGCCTCGGCCACCACATCTCTTTGAACCCTGCAGTGGCCCAAGCCTGGGCCTACTCGGCCTGCGGGCTTGGCCTGACCAAGGCCTCCGCTCTGTGTTTGTCGGAGGCGCGCTCGGCGCAGCCACCTCCTGTCAAGGGACTCTAGGAACCACGGCGCACTGGACGCAGCATCTTCTGAAACTATGAGGCAAGCTACGAACTTCCAAAAACACGCTGCGAAGAAAACGGACGTGATGCGGAGCCTGAAATATCTTCCCGCAAGTTTGAGGAACGACAGGAACGAACCCTCGCCCTCAAGTGTCCCCGCCTGAGATTCCCGCGTTGCACCCGCAGGGCTGCTAGGCGCCTGGCCGCTCGGAGATCCTCTATTACCATACCATACTAAGCTAGAGACGAGTCGAACCTAGACTAGACTTTACTGTGCTGTACGCATACTGTACTATACTATACTATACTATACTATACAATACAACGATATGATAAATTATAATAGACTGTATTGTAACAAACTATGTATTATGGTATGTTATACTATACTGGAGTATCGAGCAAGTCGACAGCAACAAATACCGTAGCATCACACAGACGTTCCGGATCAATGCAAGACAGCGCTACCTACTGCTACAAGCGGTCCAGATATAAGGTTGGCACGACCTCAGTCCTACCAGTACTGCTCTTCCCCACTGTTGTATGCCAGAAGAACTACACACGGGAAACAGCTTTGCAGAGCTTTTCCTTGATGGGAGAAGACAAAGTACAAAAACGCCAACCGGACTTGAACAAACGGCGTAATAGAAGTAGAAGGGGCAGCAGAAGCCAAGCCTCGGACAAATGTTATGACAAACATTATTCTCTTCTTGAAGTACGTCTCTGCTACAACTGGTGTGGGTGTTCGCAGGTGCATCGGCATCATAGGTGTTTAGTAGTAGTAGTAGTAGTAGTAGTAGTAGGAGGAGGAGGAGGAGGAGTAGGAGTAGGAGTAGCAGTAGCTAGTTAACCCACAGCATTGAGTCAGCAGCGTGAGCCAAAATATCCGGTCTTACAGGTGGCATCCAGGCAGGTCTAAGGCCAGTGGGCCTGGTCGCAGCGAGCAGCAGGCCCCAAACAGACGATGACTGCAGTCAGAAGCCCTTGTGTTAGGGTTTAGGGTTTAGGGTTTAGGGTTTAGGGTTTAGGGTTTGTATCAATCGAGCTTACACCACGCCCTCTACTCCAAAGCTGCGGGCTGTGCCCAAGACACCATGCTCCAAGCTCCCGACGGTCTGTTGCTTCTGCGGCTCAGTCATCTCGGACCTTACACTGTCTGGGCTGACGGTCTGGCTCCAGAGTTTTGGCTTCTGGAAAATCTCGCAGCAAGGGATATCTCTATCAGTCTTTTCTTAAATGGTACACCTCCATGTCAATCCTACAGCGACGGGAGAACACGGAAACAGATCACGAGCATGCAAGACTCCCACTAGCCGTCTTTCCCACCCTACATTCGCGAGAATCACATCAAAGGACATTGAAATTTTCCCTGCTCCATCTTGCTTTGTTGCTCCTGTCCTCTTTGAGATCCCTCTAGCACCACTGGATCTCAATGCTGATCGATCACCGCCTGTCACACCGCGGGAAGAACGGAAGCCCTCGACGGATGGGCTTCGAATCCAGCGGCCGCGTGTCCTCTTCCTCCACGATCGGAGATGTTGCAGTGCGTGCCCATCTCATCCACGGTCATCAGTGATTTCCACTGAGGCGACGGCGCTGCTGCCAGAAAAATACCCAGAAGGATTCACTGCCGCCACCACCACCGTCACCTCCGCCGCCGCCATATGGCATGGTATAGCCGATCCTTGTTGATTTAAACAAAAGCCAGCCGCGGGACCCGTGACATCGTCACCTTCCCCAGCATCTTCGAACCCCAGGTGTCGGGTTCACTCCGGATCAGTGGGCTTCCGACACCCGTCCTCTCTCTCTTCTCAGCAGCCAGGGGCGAAAAGAGGTCCGTGTCGGAGTTCAGGAACCGCTCGCTATGCTCTCGGGCTTGGCCGATCACGTCGGCGAGGGAATCGTGGAGACGATCCATGAACTGACAGGCTGCAGCCAGGTCCTCGCCTGCCTCGTCATCCTTGTCCAGGGAGCTGCCCTTGCTGGCTGTCATACCAAGGCCACTCATGGCCTGTGATCGGCCCTCACAGCCGTCGTCCAGCAAGATGAAGAACGCATCCTTGAGAGCAGAGTAACCGAAGCCAGTCCCCCTTCTCCCGGAAAAGGGCTCCAATCCTCCCGTCACAAAGGGCACCAAGGCCGTTTCACCCTGAGGAAGATGCCTCCAACTCTCAACTCCAACCAACAGGAGGTCGCAGAAGAAACTCTTCACAAACTCCTTCCCATCCCGTGTCCGCCCCAGCTGAAACTCCTGGATGTCCATGGCGGCCATGCGCGTGCCGAACATTTCACCGATCTCGTCCGATTTCTTCATCCTTTCAGACACAGGCAGGCAGGCAGAAAGCAGGATGAAACTGGCTATCCCAGAAACAGGACCTTGGGACGAGAAGACATCACAAAAAGGAAGCCAGGGCTCTGGGAAAAGAGGCCTGGAGCTCCTTGTAGAACCACGATAAAGCCCGTGAGGTACGGGAAGTGGAACAGGATACCCTCTAAGAAGGTTTGATGTCGCTCCCCAATTCCGAAGACGCAGAGCTGCACCGATGCTAAGCCACCGAAGTTGTGCCTCTGGAAGAGCTCGTGGAAGTTCCAGAAGTGCTTGTAGCGATCTTCTTGGAAGACATCTTGGAATCCCTCATGCAGCAGCTTGAAGTGCCGGGTTCGGGCCATTGACGACCTTCCGGCGTAATGAAAAACGAAAAGGCTCCGGTTTTCCGCAGCAGAGGGAATCCGGTGGTGGTTGATGCGAGGCGTTGGCAGCACGACGATCTTCGATTTTGCATCTAAGAGGTTGTGTTTGAAGGCCACCGTGAGGCAGTATTGCTCCGTCCAGTTCAGGTAGTCCTGACACTCGGGGAAGTGGTACATCTCCAGTAGGAACTGGCGTGTCCATGGGCTATTTCGAAACAAGACTGTTGCTCCATCCATCAGCTCTTCCCGTTGCATCGCGGGGAAGTCTGGCCAGATGTCTTGTGCCCAGATGTGAGCATTGGGATAGGAATCGATGTCAAAAACATCCTCCAACTGCTGTGCCTGGTCATACACCACCGCATCGGCATCGATCCAAAACAAGAAGTCATAATCTGCCAAATGAATCCTGGGGGCATTTTATCGGAACGCATCATGCTTCGCATTACAACAGAGGAGCAGAGCTGCCTTTGGACTACTCCTCTACTCCTGGGAGTTCCTCCGACTCTAAGGACCTTCCTGTAACACCCGCAGCGACACCAGGACCCCTATTCTATGAACCTCCAACAAACTATCCAGAAACTTCGGAAACTCCCGAAAAGCCCAGGCTCAGAATGGCGTGGATCTTCGACCAGTGCGGGACTCGTGACTGGTCAACGACGTGGTCGAGGATGTGAAAGCCGTAGCCGTGCCTCTTTGCATATCTGGCATTACCAGCTGCCGTCATGTTCGCATAAGACATGATTTCAGGCGAGTGCATGGTGACCTCAGTCGAGAAACAAAAAACACCTGCCCCCCCCCCCAGTTAAACGAATTTGAGAAACAATAGTAATTTCGCGTCCAATGAGGCGGCGGCCAACCCCATCTGATGTTTGGAGTCACAGCGTCCAGCTAGCTGGAAGGCCAACACCACCAGCCACCGCATGCTTGAGTGCAAGCAAAAAGGCTGAGAGGCCCCAGGTCTCCGCAGCGTTGCCGAGCACTTAGTCTCTGCTGTCGCCTTTAGCTCAGGATCAGATCCTGTGGATCATGACGGCCACGCTGCAACATGGATCCGATCTCTGAGACGGCTACACTGTGCTGAGAAGATGCATGCTAAAGCCGGTGCGACCCACAAGAAGGCAGGAAGAGGCAGCCGGGTTCATCAAGCTTTTTAACAGATACATACATGTATATTCAATATAACGGTGTATGATGTTACATGGCACAATACAAAACATGCTCTACAGCTCTCATGTGCAATTTCTCATATCTATTTCTACACACACAGACTGTATACATGTGAGCACATATACATGCATTTGTGTACATATACTCATGCGTATGTATGTGTTTGTATGTATATATATATATGCATGTAAATTCGACTTATACATATACGGACACCTACACGTATACATAACTAGAGTCATGTACATCTGCCTGCACGGTTATTTGCGCATCTACATATACGTATACACATGCAAAAAAAACACGTGCGCACACACACACACACATACATATGTGGGCAAAATTCATCACTAGGTATTTGCTGCATACAACGAAAGGTGGTGTAATGCAACGCAATGCAGCGGAGCGCAATGTAAAGACATGTAATGTATTGAAATCTCATGTCACGCCATGCAACATATGATACTGCGTTATACTATGTTAGGTTAAAGTGCATTACACTGTAATTCTGAAACTATATGGCATTGCATTGCGCTACCTGACATTATTAGATATCACGCTATGTTACATGTAAGTTACATTGTAGAACATCATGCTTCCTTGTTACAAATAGAAAAACTTCTGATACGACATTATATTGTGTGCCATGTGATTATGTTTACAATATTTTACATTATATGATATTAAATTGTATAGCAGTATAGTAGAGTGTAGTCTGTTGCATCTTATACTCTAATATTTCATATCATATAATAATATGACAACACAAGGCTTTATATTATATTGTGCGATATCATCTCATATTGCATTCTATTCTCTAACAGAGTCTACTGTGGCACGTTTTGAATGAGAATATTATGGCTATAATATATATACTTAGCATATGACGCGACAACGCTCTGTATTGTGTTCTGAAGACCTTATACCGTGCCATACTATGTTGTGTTAAATCATGCCATACGGCATTGCAGCATATTGCATTAGAAGATTTGTTAACTGTTACTACAGATGTATTGCATGGTATGATACCGTCACACCATGCTATATCACACGTATCATATAAAATAGTTTAATGTCCTGTGTTGTCTTCTACAAGACCGTAACATATCCTAAGAAAAACGCAGGATACTATGCGATTCTATTCTAGTCCGCTCTGTTCGCTCATTGACCGCCTGTGCCGAAACATGACCCAGAAGCCTGACATGCAGCGTGTAGAATGAGGCGACGACCTTTGTCTTGGCAAGCGATGGGTCCGTCACATTAGCTTGGAAACTACAGACAGAGACTGCGCCGGGGCATTGAAATCGACCCTGGCTCTTAAAAAAATGTCTAAATCAGAGGCTGGTTTTTGCCAGCGACCTGGCGATGTCATAAAGCACTTCTTGATTTCGACGTGTAGCGACATCTACCAGCGAGGCATGCAAAGCAAATCACAGGCAAACAAACACTAAGCCCCTACAAGCCCTAAAATATTGAACCCCTACCAATTTTGCTATATCGGAAGGACCGTAAGCCAGCGATATAGCTGGTTGGACGATTTAAGACCCCTTTATCTACTTACAACGGAACTGTTCAAGCATGGCTTCAGTGGGAGCACATGCGAGCTCATCCAAAGAGGTCCGCTTCCTCCGCCTGAGGAGGGGGCAAAAACGCAATGGCATGCGACTCCATGTTTCCCTCAGGTCCCCGAAAGCAATCGTGCCCATGCCAAGGCCTCTCTAAGGATCAGGATGTCAGGAAACATACACGGACTGTCGATACACGGTCCAAGACCCTAAACCCTCAACCCTACATCCCAAACAACCCCGAAACCCTAAACCCCTAAACAACCCCGAAACCCTAAACCCCTAAACAACCCCGAAACCCTAAACCCCTAAACCCCTAAACAACACCGAAACCCTAAACCCCTCAACCCTAAGCCCTTTTGACCCCTGAATCGGGCCTTGACTCCTGTCGGCTCTTCCTTCTTCGCTGCGGCTTCGGGTTCGTCTTCAGCCTGGTCGAGGTTTTGTGTATGGGGTATAGGGCTTACGGTTTAGGGTACAGCGTTTAGGGCTTAGGGTACAAGGTTTCGGGCTTGGGGTTTAGGGTGCAAGGTTTAGGGCTTAGGGTTTAGGGTACAAGGTTTCGGGCTTAGGGCTTAGGGTACAAGTTTTAGGGCTTAGGGTTTAGGGTACAAGTTTTAGGCTTAGGGTTTAGGTATTGGGTTCAGAATCTGCGGTTTTGGGAGCCCCAGGACATTTCTTCAACGGAGCTTCCGTGGTCAAATGCTGTAAAATAACCACAGCAGCGACTACACGAGCGTAAGCTGGTCGTGTGCATTGCAGCGCATGTCCGACGATTAAATCATTTCGATTGGTTGGGGTTCCCACACTCTTCCGGATTACGGAGAATGTACGGGTTCAACAGAGCCTCGGCAGGTTCTGGTGTCTTCGCCGGTGGTGGCTTCATCTGCGGAACCTGCGCACGCACAGCATCTGTAGGGCGGGTGTCCGAAGCATTCGTAGACAGGCACATGATCGAGCAACCAACATGTGGGGCAGCATCTCTACAGCTAGCCAGAGGCAGCTGGCAGGCCTTGAAGGCCGGCATCTTGACCTCCGGAACCTTCACGTCTGGCATCTTGAAGTCCGGCATCTTGAACGCTGGAACTTTGACGTCTGGAAGCTTGACGTCCGGAAGCTTAACATCTGGAAGCTGGACGTCGGGGGGATTGATATCCGGGAGCTTCACCTGTCTCCGGTAAGAGGACTAAACTTCCGAACATAGCGTCAAGGCATTCATGCTGATGAGGGCGGAACTGCTACTGCTACTGCTACTGCGACTACTACTGCTGGTGCTACTACCACTACCACTACCACTACCACTAACCACTACCACTCCCACTACCACTAATTAACCACTACCACTCAGACTGCCACTGCCACTACCACCCCCACCACTTCTGCTACCACTACTACCACCACCACCACTACCACCACGACTACTACCACCACCACTACCACGACTGCTACTGCCACTACTACCACTACTACCACTACCACCACTACTACCACGATGACGACTACTACTACTACTACTACTACTACTACTACTGCTCCTACTACTACTACTACTACTACTACTACTACTACTACTAGCCGACAGCCTGCTCCTGTGACCC